GACTACCTGTACTCTGTTTTGAAAACAGTCCTGGCAATTCATATATTTTATTTGGGGAGGGGGGTAAATCCACTTCAGACTTTCTCATGCTTAATGCAGTGTGAATAAAATTTATAAGCATAGAACATTGCATCCTGAAACTTCCCAAAATTTTAATCCACTGCAGGATTTTTGAATCTTAGCAAGTTTAAGATGCATGGACGCCAACTCCCAGAATTCCACAGCTGGCATGCTTGATAACTATACTATTTACTTTAAACAGTTTCTTATTTGAAATCTTTCCTTGTATATATTCCTATGTTCTAAACCTAAAATCTAAATTGTATTTTTAATGTTCCCAGTGGTGATGATCTTATGGAGGTCAAAGACTAATAAAACGTGATCCTTATTAAAGCATTACTTATTATTTCCTGCAAAATTGAAAAACAGGATTAAAGACATGAAGATTTTCAGCACAGCACAGATACCCAAGCCTTTTCCCCTTTGATCAGGAATCCAGTTAGAACTGGAGAAGTTTGCATTTGAATCTTCACTTAACACTTAACGCTAAAATTTGGAATTTGGAAACAGTAAATTCCTCAGCCTATTTTCCCTTCCAGAGGTATTATTATATAGTAACATGGGGGAGAGGGAACATTTATAACTTGGAATAGGTATCATTTATAACTTGGAATAGGTATCTTCTCTTCTAAAAGAGAGAGACAGGGAGGGAGGGGGAGAGGGAGAGGGGGGGAGAGAGAGAGAAGATGCTGAGTTTGTCCATCAGAAAGGTCGGCCGTTCGGCGGTTCGAATCCCTAGCACCGCGTAACAGAGTGAGCTCCTGTTATTTGTCCCAGCAGCTTCTTCCAAACTAGCAGTTCGAAAGAATGTAAAAATGCAAGTAGGAAAATAGGGACCCCTTTGGTGGGAAGGTAACAGCGTTCTGTGCGCCTTCGGCATTTTGTCATGCCAGCCACATGACCACGGAGACGTCTTCGGACAGCGCTGGCTCTTCGGCTTTGTAACGGAGATGAGCACCACCTCAAGAAGACCAAAACATCTCCATACCAGCAATCCAGCACCCAGATGAGCAGATACTAATTCCAAGATTAACATCAGACCAACAATCAAATAAACAATACCCCAAGCAAGGAACAAGCAAACAGTAAACAGCCCAACCTTATTAAGCCCTGGGGTCGCAGTGGTTAGAATGCAGCATTGCAGGCTAACTCTGCCCAATGCTAGGAGTTCGACCCTGACCGGCTCAAGGTTGACTCAGCCTTCCATCCTTCCGAGGTCGGTAGAATGAGGACCCAGATGGTTGGGGAAAAGATATTGATTCTACAAACTGCTTTGAGAGAGCTGTAAGCTGAGAAAAGTTGCAGCATTAAGACTATGGAGCAGTATATAAGTAAGTGCTATTACTATCTACTGTATTTCTATTTCTCCCTCCCTCCCTCCTTCTCTCTCTCTCTCTCTCTCTCTCCCAATTTCTATTTCTCTCTTTCAATTTCTCTCTCTCCCCCCCTCCCCTGCAGTGCTTAGAATGCAATATTGCAGGCTGACTCTGCCGACTGTTCGATCCAGTTCGATCCTAACCGGCTCAAGGTTGACTCAGCCTTCCATCCTTCCAAGGTGGGTAAAGACCCAGATTGTTGAGGGCAAGAGGCTGACTCTGTAAACCTCTTAAAGACGGCTGTAAAGCACTGTGAAGCGGTATATAAGTCTAAGCGCTCTTGCTATTCTGTGGAGTGGGTAGCCACTGCAGAAAAGCCTGCCCTACATCCTGCCCAGCATGGCAACCAGGTTGCCCAAACTCTTTGACCAACTGGGTCCACAGGTTGCCCTTTCTGCCAGATCGAGTGGGACAGGCCAGGGAAATGCAGAATTACAAAGAGATGACTGATTTTAGCAGGCGGCATAAAGTTACGTGTATGTGGTATTTATTTTACAACAAGGGTCTCCTATCTGTTAAATATCAAGCATGAAGGAAAATTCAGTGCTAGAGAATGATAAAACATTCAGTATATCCAAGTAACACCTGAAAGGTCCAACTCTTGTGCCAGGCTAAGCAATGATTTATGAATAAATCATAGTTGGCAGGGCTTAAACCAGGGCATGATTTACACACCCGAGTGGATTCACACATAGAGGCAAGTGTAGGAAGGACATAAAAAGTCACAATGACAGCCAGAAGTGTGCAATTCAAACCCTGTCCTTTTGGTACAACAAGACGCAGAAAAATAGGTGGAATTTTTGATGGCTGAATTGCCTCTTCCCTCTTGCCTTTTTTCTCTTTTTGGACACCTTCCACAGGTGTAGAGATGGGAAGGCCTGGAAAAAAACAGGAAAAATTGGGAGAGAAACAGATTTTTTCCTGTCCCCCCGCCCCTCAAAGCCATTTCCCTCCTGTTGGAAGAATTATCCTTCTGGGTTCAGTTCCAAATGGGGAAAAAGACACTTGAAACATTGAGGCTGTTTGGAAAGATGGTGGACAGGACCACATGGCTTGGAGCAGTGGTGGGATTCCATTTTTTTTACTACCAGTTCTGTGGGCGTGGCTTGGTGGGCGTGGCAGGGGAAGGAGACTGTAAAATCTCCAGTCAGAAGTGGGATTGGCCGGTTCTCCAAACTACTCAAAATTTCCGCTACCGGTTCTCCAGAACTGGTCAGAACCTGATGAATACCACCTCTGGCTTGGAGCTCCAAAGTGAAAAGAACAATCACATGCTTCAAGATGTTGGGTGAAGGGGAAAAAAAGGGCTGATATGCTGAGAGTGCAATTGTTTTATACCCTCTGTTGGGATTTGAATTTGAGCTTTGTGTTCTGATTGGATGTCAGACTCCCATGGGGCCACGCAGGGGCAACTCTGTAGGCTGTCCTGAGTCCCAGGCTTGGTTGAGCCTTGCTGGGTGATGATGTAATGAAAAGGCTTTGCGCAATTCCTATTATGGGTCTGCCTGAAGGTGGTAGATCTTTGTTATGTAAAATAGGCTGGCCCAGGCCAGAGTAATGGTTCATTAGCAAAGGTGGCGGGGCTGAGTTTCTGACTCTGAGTTTCTACTTTTTTTTAGGGGAAATATTCCGCCTTTTTTGTATATTCTAAAATATTTTATTTTCCTAGGAGAAGGGGTGGGTTTTAACTTAGAACACCCCTGAAAAAAAGGGGGGAAAGTGTGGAATGTGTTCTTTTCAAATGATAAATAACATATATGTAGGGGGCATGCATAAGCGCACCAATCGTGCCTACCGTCCCAGTCCTATTGTTTCTTTTTATTTTTCTTATATGTATCTATCTCATGTATTCAAAGCTATGTTTATACTTATACCTGTTATCTTGTAAGCAATTGACAAATCAAATAAATAAATTATACATACATGCACACATACATACATACATACATACATACATACATACGGTATTCAGCTTTGTTTGGGTATTTTCCCACATCATTATAGTTGTGCTTTTAAAGTTGTAGCAACGTTTCGGCAGAATCTCATCTGCCATCATCAGGCTCATGTATTGGGTTCGTCTGTGAGTCAGACTTTCACAGCCGTTCCTGTTTTAAATTTGGTGCTGGCCTCATGCTTTGTTAGAATGTTTTTTTCTTCATCCTGATTGGTTGGGAGTCTTGGTCTGTGTTTATTGGTCTTGGAGTTTGCTGTGTTCTGCTTGATTGGTGTTTCTAATATCTTCTGTCTGTTTTGTAGCGTTGTTGTTTTTTTTGTCTTGATTAGCTGGCAACGTTGTGTTTCACGGCTTGGCTCCAAGTAAATGGACGGCTATCATTTATTAGGAAGCTAGGTTTCATCTGGGTGGCTGGCTGGGGTGTGTTTGGGCTGGAGGTATCGGGTGGGGGGTCTGTTTGTGCCCAGGTGTTTGCTTGGCTTGTGGTGTGGAGATTTTTTTTGTTTGTGAGTGCAGGCTTCCAGATAATTGACAGTCTGGTGACAGTCTCTTCTATTCATGCTTTCAGGTCTTTTTTCAATCTCTATGGCGTCTCAGATGATTCTGTAGCGGGGGTTTTCTATAGTGGCTAGGGTTTTGGTGCCATTGAAGTCGATGCTATGACCTGTGGCTTTCATGTGTTGGACTAGTGAGGAAGTGTGTTCCAGCTTTTTTAACTGTATTTTTGTGTTCGTCAAGGTGGGTATTTATTCTTCTATTGATCTGTCCGATGTATGTGGCAGGGCATGATGCGCAGGGGACTTCATATATGCCTTGGTTGTCCAGGTCAATTTTATCTTTGGGGTTTCTTAGGATAGCTGCTATTTTTCTGTCTGTTTTGAAGGCAGTTTTGATTAATGCCTGTGTAGTATCTTACTGATTTTTCTGTAGTACCTCTTATGTAGGGCAGGACAGCTGTTCCATGGGTCTGTTCATCTTCTAGGTCTTTATTGTGTCTCAGTGTGTTTTTGTGGATTAGACCTGTGATTTTGCTTTTGTGGAAGCCGTTGGCTGTCAGTACTTTGGTCAGGGTGCATAGTTCAGTCTTTATGTGTGTCTTGTCTGCCAGGTGTTTGATTTTGGAAATTAGTGTTTGGCCACGGAATTTATCTGTGCTGGGTGGTGGTGGGATTGGGCATTGAGGTAGCGGTTGGTGTGTGTTTCTTCTGGTGTATAGTGTGTCCTAGTGTGCCATCTGTTTTTTTGTAGATTAGTACATCTAGGAATGGTAGTTGTTTGTTTCCGTTTCCATGGTGAATTTGATTTTGGGGTGTGTGCTGTTTAAGTGTGTTAGGAAATTGTTTAGGTTTTCTTTTCCATGGGGCCAAATAACAAATGTGTCATCGATGTATCTTAACCATAGCTTGGGTTTGTGGGTGGCATTTGCCAGGGCTCTGGATTTGAATTCTTCCATGAACAGGTTTGCAATAATACACACACACACACACACACACACAGAGTGTTCAAACTATGTAACATGAAGACCTTAATAAAAGATTTCTGAGACTTTTGGTTAAGTATTAAATTATTGCAAGTTCTCTCAGCTGAAAACAAGCAAATCCTGAAACATAATTCAAGTAACGCTGTACTTTTCAAGGCAGTTCTTAAACAAGAGAAATATGCATTTGTGCCACTAGGGGGCACTGCAGGGAAGGCTCCAATTTAGTTTGCTTGCGTGTACAGTACCTCGGACCCGAGTAATGGTTGGTATAAGAGGAAGAAGAAATGGAAAATGATAGCAGTAGTTCAAAAAATGAGATAGAATAAACTGCATGTATACGTTGTGTCTTCTGTTGTTGTTTTTTTAAAGCATCACTCAAAAGGTAAAACTTTTGTGGAGCTGAAATGTTGAGGTGGACCTTAACTTTATTTGCTATTGGGTGCCAAGGGGCAAATCTGATTATTATTTTTTTATGTTGATGGTTTCTTGATTTTTTTTGGTTCCTTAGATGGGAAAGTGGGGTTGATTACCTGTTTATTGCAAGCACAATACTTTTATATACATTGCATTTCACGCTATTTGTAAAAACTACTCCACACTGAATTCCCCCCCCCCAATTTTTCCAAAAATTTCTATTTTTTCTCGAAAAAAAACAGAAGGAAAGATGGTTTTTTCTCATGGCTTCAAAATTTCCAGAAATTTTACATCTCTACACAGGCGTCACACTTCACACAGCCCACTAGGCCAAAACTATCCAAAGCATAATGTTGGACCAACATCTAAGTTCTGGGATAGAGGTCTCCAACCATGGCAACATTAAGACTTGGGGACTTCAACTCCCAGAATTCCCCAGACAGCAGAATTCTGGGAGTTGAAGTCCACAGGTCTTACTGTTGTCAAGGCTGGGGATTCTTTGGGATCATCTGTAGAAGCCTCTTTCTTCTAGCTCTACACTCATGCCCTTGCCAGCAGCCCAGCTCCCTCCGTGTGCCAACCCGGTTGCCATGCTGGGCATTCTGTTGATGGAACCGTCTCTTCCTTAGCTGCGACTCAGCCAATGGGGAGCCAGGCTGAGATCTCCACATTCCATCCCATTTGTGCAGGTTCTCCTTTTGGAACATTGATGCCTCACACCCCCGGGCACACCATGCCAATGTGCTTGGCGTGGCTCGGAGAGACCAACAAGTGAGGAACGGAGGAGTTCGTTTCCTGAAAGCCTCGTGCCAATTATAGCCCAGGTACGCCTCCAACACCAAGCCCCAACCCAAGAAGGGGCCTCAAAGATTTCGCCAGGCAGAGAAAAATGTCTCTCCTTGTTCTCATTCTGTTGAATGAAATGGTGTTTTCTTCAGAAATGTCTTCCTAAAGCAGAAGTCACCAAACTTGGCAACTGTAAAGACTTGTGGACTTCAGCTCCCAAAATTCTGGGAGTTGAAGTCCACAAGTGTTAAAGTTGCCAAGTGTGGGGACCCCTGTCCTAAAGAGACATTCAGGGACTCCTGCTGGGTACAGTAGGTTGCTCTCCCGGGGTGGGATTTAACTAGCATTACTACTGGTTTGGTGATTACATTTTACGCATAGCAGCTGAGGTTGAAAAAGCAGGAAATAAAAGTCAGGTAAGCGCCCGGGCGGGCAGGTGGGCCAAACAGCAGCAAACACAGAACCGGTTCTGTGTCTGCTGCTCTTCAGTGCTACCAGCTCTATAGAACCGGGCAGAACCGGTAGCATCCCAGCCCTGGTGCTCTCCCACTAATTAAAGGATGGTGGCCAATAAGAGATTTTGAGTGGCCATTCCTTTGTTGCATAATATTCCCTGCAGCCTCAGTGGCTTCCCACCGTTCCATGCTGGTCCCAGGTGACTCCTTCCAGAGAGTTTCTCCAGGTGTGCCATTCCTGGGTTGTCTACACTCAACACCATCCCAGTCAAAGGGTTGTCCAGTCTATTTTTGAAAACCTTCAGTAATGGAGCACCCAAAACTCCAGAAGGCAAGGCGCTCAATTGGTTAACTCTTCTCACTGTAAGGAAATTTCTCCCTATTTCTACTCAGATCTCTCTTTGATAATCTTCCACCTATTATTTCTTGTCCTGACCTCCGGGGCTTTGGAGAAGAAGTCAACCCCCTCCTTTCTGTGACAGCTCTTCAGAGGTATTGGGAAACTGCCATCATGCACCCCCTGAGCTTTCTCTTTGGTAGGGTAGACATACCTAGCTCCCTCAACCATTCATCATAGGATTTAACCTCCAGATCCCTTATCATTGTTATTGCTCTTCTCTGCACACTTTCCAGGGACTCAACTTTTTTTTGTGGTGACCAGAACTGGACACAGTATTCCAAGTGTGGCCTCACTAATACTTATGAAGTGGTATTGTCACTTCTGATGATCTTGATACTATTCATCTGTTGATGCAGCCCAAGACGGCACTGGCTTTTTTGGCGGCTGCAGAACAGTGCTGGCTCATACTTAAGTAATGGTCCCTAGGACTCCTAATCCCTCTCACAGGTACTGCTGTTGAGCCAGGTATCACCAATTCCACACCTGTGCATTTGGTTTTTCCTGCTTAAGTATAGGACCTTACTTTTTCACCACTGAATTAGTGAAATCCAACTTCATTCTAAATCGTATTTTATTCCTATTTCATTTTAAATTGTATTTTATTCGATTCCATTTTAAGAAATTTTTATCAGATTTTAGTAATAATTTGTGTCTGGAACTCTGCACTTTGATATGGCCCAGGGGCTAACCAATAAACTAAACTAAACTAAACTAAACACCACTGAATTGCATATTGTTGGATATGGCCCAGTGCTCAAGCATTGGCATATCAAGATGTCAAAATAATATAGGTTCTCCTGCGTAAAAAGGGAGTAGGATCAGAAGACTTCCAAAGTCCCTTCCAGCTCAATTCTGATTGATTGATTGATTGATGATTGTTCTGGAGCTTAAGCCCATTTGCTAAAGCTATTCCGCTCAGTTTAGTGTCATCTGCACATTTGATCAGTTCCTCTTCTATCCCTTCATCTAAATTATTTATGATGATGTTGACAGTACTGGGCCGAAGACCGAACCTTGTGTTATACCACTGCATGCTTCCCTTCGTGTAAGTATAGAGTAGATCCATTGAGGACTATCCATAGAGTGCCATTGGACGGCCAATTGCGGATCCATCTAAGGGTGCCTACTCCATATTGTTCTACCTTACCAAGACGTAGGTTGTGCTCTACTATGTCAAATCACTTGTCCGTCTTTTCTCCTTGAGTATTTGGTGGAAATGTGACTCCAGCTATGTTCTAAAAGATTCTGCATAATCAAGGATTTCTTTGCTAGCTTCTTGGAACTTCCTGAGTGATAGCCAGAAAACTATTTGGTGTTTTCTTACCAGGATTACTTTCCTGGTTAACCCTACTGGTTACTTACTGTGTATTCCGGAGTTCCACATATCAAGTGCATCCATCATAGACTGTGGCAGGCAACAGCACCAACCAATTCATTTTAAGGCTATGAAAAATCAGAATAATTGCTGCTCCTCTTTAAACTTGATTCATTTGGGGTTTGTTTGTTTGTTTTTGCAGCAAATTTGCTTCACAGCATCATTTGGCAAAAGAGAAGAAAAAAAGCTTTATTACAAAACCACGGAGCTCTTACAACTTACACAGATTTCTTTTTGAAAAGGATGGGGTGGCCTCTGCCAGGATGCTAGCTGCTCCTAAAGGGATGAAGCCTCCTAGACCTCGGATAAAAGGCTGCCTGCCTTCGGGGATGGTTCAAACATTATGCTAAACCACAGATGGGCCTTGCACTTAAAACACTGTGGTTTATGTTTTCATGTGGCAACGAGGACACTCATTAAGTACGGTGTTCTGATTCACACATTAAAACATGAATCAGGACAGGCACAAAAACCTGTTGATAGCGGTCACGTGTGCATGCTTCATCGTATAAACAAAAATATTAGCAACAATGGCCGCAAAGAAAATATTTTGCATGTAAATATTAGAATCATAGAGCTGGCAGTGAAACCTTGTGGTTCAACCGCCTGCCCATGGCAAGAGATTTAATGTCATCCCAGACAAATGGTCACCCAAGCTTTCCTTTAAAACCTCCAGTGATAGAGAGCTTTGGGAGGCCAGCTGTCCCAACGGATTGTTCCCACTGTCAGAAAAGCAAGGTCCTGCACTTCGGCAGGAAAACCCAATGCACAGGTACAAAATAGGTGGTACCTGACTCAACAGTAGTTCCTGTGAAAGGGATATAGGCAGGGGTGGGCTTCAACGATGTTAGCAAGGGGTTCTCTGCCCAGTTGCTGGGTGGACGTGGACATAGTGGGGGTGGCCTAGTCGGCCTCTTGCACCACGGCGGGGTGGGGGGCGTGTTTTTGCCCTCCCCGGACTCCTGAGGCTTTCCTCGAGCCTCCTGGAGGGCGAAAACAACTTCCTGGGCTCCGGAGGCTTTCTGGAAGCTGGAAACAGGCCCATTTCTGGCCTTCCCGAACTTCCGGGAGACCCATTTTTCGCCCTCCCTGAGCCTCCGTGAAGGCCCTGCCCTTACCTGCATCCAAAATGGGCCCTGTGGGGACCCCTGGGAGGGGAGGGGAGGGGTGGGCAGGGCCAGCCAGGAGTGGGATTTGGGGGTTCTCCAAATTGCACAGAAACTTAGCTAGGGGCTCTCCCGAACCCCTGCGAACCCCCAGCAGCCCATTCCTGGATCTAGGTGTCCTGGTGGAACAGTACTTAGGTGTGAGCAGCAAGGGGCTAATGCAATCCTAGGCTTCATCAACAGAGAGTTAGTATCAAGGTCACACGAAGTGATAATAAGAGAATAACAGAGCTGGGAGGGACTTTGGAGGTCTACTAGTCCAACCCCCAGCTCAGGCAGGAAACGCTTTACCATATCAGACAAGTGGTTGTCCAGTCTCTTCTTAAAAACATCCAGTGTTGGAACACCTGAACTGAACAAGGAGAGATTCACCCTGGAAATCAGGAGAAACTTTCTGACAGTGAGGACAATCAACCAATGGAACAGAAGTTGCCCTCGGAAGTTGTGGGAGCTTCATCCCTGGAGGCTTTCAAGAAGAGACTGGGCTGCCATCTGTCAGAAATGGTGTAGGGTCTCCCGCTTGGGTGGGTGGGGGTTGGACTAGATGACCTACAAGGTCCCTTCCAACTCTGTTAATCTGTTAAACCTACAACTTCTGAAGGCAAGCTGTTCCTCTAGTTAATTGTTCTCACTGTCAGGAAATTCCTCCTTAGTTCTAAGTTGCTTCTCTCCTTGATTAGTTTCCATCCTTTGTTTCTTCTCCTGCCTTTCGGTGCTTTGGAATTTGACTCCCTCTTCATTGTGGCAGCCCCTCAAATATTGGAAGACTGCTATCCTGCCACCCCTTCCCTCTTTTCATGCTCTGTACTGCACTAGTGAAGTTCCACAGGGAATACTGTTTTTCCAACTTTTGTGCTAAGAAAGGCTCAGCTCCAAAATTGCCATCTTCTCTCATTAAGAACAGATAAGCCAAGATAATGATTTGTGGTACCCTTGGCCCATTGGAGCACTTACTCAAATTATTCTTCCAGTGCAAATACAGGAAGTCCTTGACTTACTACAGTTCATTTAGTGATCATTTGAAGTTACGACGGGACTGAAAAAAAGTGACTTCTGACCATTTATCACACTTATGACTGTTGCAGCATCCCCATGGTCACGTGATCAAAATTCAGATGCTTTGGCCACTGACTCGTATTTATGATAGTTGCAGTGCCCCTTTTGGGACTTTCTGACAAGCAAAGACAATGGGGAAGCCAGATTCCAATAAGACCAAGGAGAGCTTTTAGTGGACTCTAGAAGGAACAGATCAGACCTCCAGCCCTTGCTTATCAATGGAGATCGAGTGGAGCAAGAGGCAGTTTTAAGTTTCTGGGTTTTACCATAAAAGGGGACCTGACCTGGGGTGCCCACATTGCAGCCCTGGTCAAAAGGGCCCAGCAGAGATTATACTACCTGAGGCTTCTCAGAAAACAAAAACCGAATGAAAAACTGCTGGTGACCTTCTACCGCTGCACCATAGAGAGCATCTTAACTTCCTGCACCTCTGTATGGTTTGCCAATTGCACAGTGGCAGATAGGACGGTGCTCCAGAGGGTTAATGTCATTGCCCAGAGGATCATGGGTTGCCCTCTCCCCTCTTTGGACGAGCTTTTTTTTTTTTTTTTTGAAAAAAAGTTTTATTGATTTTAACAACGAACAAAAACACATAAAACATAAAACATAAAAGCATCATCCTCCTTCATAAATTTACAGACAGTGTATCGGTTGGTTTACCACTTTTTTTGTGCATCCATTTCAGTCTCCATTGTAGTTATATTAAATAATAGCTCATATTATCAATCAACAATTATATAGCCTGATATCATTATTAAACAATCATTTGACTATAATTTTATTAATTCATACTTTAACGAGATAACTATAATTTACTTAATTTATTTTATAACAAATCATAAAGTCATACCAAGTCTATCTTGATAAAATTTTATAAAAATAGTATCAAAAAAAGAAAAAAAGAAGTATATATTCATTATTTCCTAAGTTTCTAAATATTCTATTATTATATTTTATTATCTAGCCATTGATAGAAAAGGTCCCAAACTTCATAGAATTGTTTATCTTCTTGTTCTCTAATTTCAAATGTCAATCTACTCATTTCAGCACATTCCAATATTTTCTTAATAATTTCTTCCTCTGATGGTATTTTCTCACTCTTCCCTCTTTGGAAGAGCTTTATACCTCCCGCTGCCTTAAGAAAGTTCAAAACATCCTTAAAGATCCATCTCATCCTGGGCACCCCTCCTTTTTTTTTAACTATTACCATCTGGCAGACGGTACAGGATAATAATAAAAACAAGGACAAATAGGCTGAAACACAGCCTCTATCCCAGAGCAGTAGCTCTACTGAATTCTGCTGTATAGTGCAGTGTTGGTGCGGTGTCGGGGTGGGGGGGTTGGTTCAATGCGTGGAGGGTGAAGGGTGTGTGTTTGTGTTTATTTTCATGGTCATGATGTGCACTGAGGATGGTGTTTGATTTCGTTGTACGAGGTGCAATGACAACAAACTAAACTAAACTAAACTAAACTAATTCACTTGACACTAGTGTTAGTGTTACTAACATAACAATTGCAGCAATTCACTTAACAATGGTGGGAAGAAAGGTCGTAAAATGGGGGCAAAACTCACTTAACAAATGTCTCATTTAGCAACAGAAATGTTGGATTTCAGTTGTGGTTGTAATTCAAGGACCACCTGTATGGGCAAAAAAGCACTAACACCTGCACATCAACCGCTTTTTATTTCCTTTGTTCGTGTAGACCTGGATTTTGCAAATGACATCCTTCTTAAGCAGCCAGCAATAATATAAATAATAGGAAAGAGGGAAGAATTATTGAAATATTTAAAATTAGTTCTCGTATTATTCCAAGTCAAGGCCAGTTTATTAAAAACCTTTGGTATGGAGGTCAGTCCCCCTTTAAGTGAAATTATTGTGAGTGGCCAAAAGGAAATAAATTTTGTTTAGAACTTCTTATTTTTTGTGCTAGTTCTTCTTTGTCTATTATTTCCATTTTGTGCTTTGTTAGTTTCATTTTGTTTTGTAAATCATTTCTTTGCAGATTTCTTTGAAGCTCCTTCTCCAGCTTTTTATAATCTTCTACTACTATTTTTGTGCCTGTCTTTTCTTTCTATTTTTCTTTCCTGTATATGCTATAGTAGTCCTCTAGTATAAGCTTTTGCTGTATCCCAAACATTTTGTAATGGAGTTTCCTCTTTTCTATTTTATCAAAGAAAAGTTCCAATTCTTTTTCCATCTATTTAATGTACTCCTTTACTCTTAATATTAAATTGTTCATTGTCCATCTTGACCTCTTTTTGTGTCCCTTCCATATTACTTTAATCAGATTATGATCTGCCCATTTTTTTGTTTCAATACTTATTTCTTGTATGTTGAAAATTAAATCTGTTGATACCCACATCATGTTAATCTTGGACCAGGACAAATGTCTATTCAAATAGAATGTATATTGTTTGGTTTTGGGATGTATTTCTCTCCATGCATCTTGGATTGCTAACTCTTCCGTCATCTTAAAGGAAGATTTTGGTAATGTTTTCGTATTATTTTTATTTGTCTTTTGTGTTTTATAGTCTATTGAAAACCTTTGGTATGGAGGTCAGTCCCCCTTCAAGTGAAATTATTTTGAATGGGTTAGAGAGTCAGTAGTGTCATTAGCGACCACAAAAGTGGTCAAAAGGAAATAAATTATTTGACTGCCAGCGATCATGTCACTCCTATTTCTTTCTGTTCGTTAGACTAGACATATCTGCATACTGCAATCATTAATGGTATGTTTTAACATGCAATCCCCTAATCATCTGTGTTGCTCTTCTCTATACTTTTTCTAGTTTTGTGGGAAAAGGGGTGTATTGTATTGTATTGTGGTTGACCAAAACTGGGCACAGTATTCAACATGTGATCTCATCAATGCAGTAGAAAGTGGCACTAACACTTCATTTGATCTTGATGTTATTCTTCTGCCAATGCAGCCTAGGATTACATTAGCTCTTTTGGCAGCTGCAACATGCTGCTGGCTCATATTTAAGAAGTTTTTCCACTAGGAGTTCTAGATCATTTTCACAGTTGCTGTTGTTGAGCCAAATACCACATGTGCTGGGTTTTTCTTCTTGCTTTGGTATAAAACTTTACTCTTCTTACCACTGAATTGCATCTTGTAGGACAGTACTCAGGTCTGTCAAGACCCTTTTGAATCTTGCATCTATACTTCTACATACAACTGTACTTCAGGGCTCAATTATATGGCAGCTGTTATTCAAGGACTGCTTGTACTATAGTCATCATAATGAAGCCAGGACAAGAAGCTCAAGTTTATAGCATTCACTGAAGTAGAAGTCTTCCTTTGCTCTAAATTTAAACCAAGAATTAAATCTAAATGAGTGCAATGGAAGACAAAGCTGCAATAACCACTAGGGAAGAAAGCTTTCTTACCTAAGTCCAATCAAACTACAGGAATATCCCTCGGGTGAAGTCCCTAGAATAATGGCCCCCAAACTCTTCAGTTCATCAACCCCTTCATGAAGTTTCAGATTGTTCACTGACTCAAAAAAAAAGTTCTATGAAAATAATGTAATAAACTTTTAAAATAATAATACTGTGTTTCCCCAAACATAAGACCCAGTCTGATTTTCTTTTGGGCCCCAAAATAAGCGCCAGGTCTTATTTTCAGGGATGTGTTTACCTGCTTACCTTAGGACCACCACAGCCAGGCCTCCCACGCCCCGACACCTATCATGCCCCTGCCCAACATATTGTGCAGCCACTGGGGCCACTTGCAGACAGACACCGCATGCTTGTCGCGCTGGTGCTGTTGCTCACAGCAAGAGGCCATGTAGTACATTGTGCTGTTGCGTGCACAAATGGCAGTATCATCGTGACGTGCCACACAGTATCCTGCTGTGAGCAGAGGCACCGGCACGATGAGCCATGTGGCCTGCCGTGAGCGGCAGCACTGGTGTATGCACCACGTGGCATCCAGCCAGGAGTGGACACAAGCGGACACAGAAGAAGTCAGGCAGCGCGGCGACAGGTGTTGAGGCTTCAGTGGTCCTAAGATAAACGGGTATGGAACACGTGGGGCAGCTCCATCCCTCCACCCTAACCCTAGCTTCATTTTTATGTATGTGCCTTGCCCCACCTCGTACAATCAGATGGTGGGCACGACTTAACTAGGGCTTATTTGGGGGCTAGGTCTTATATTAGGTGCAGGCATGAAAATTGGGCAAGGGCTTGTTTTGGGAGTAGGTCGTATTTTGGGGGAAATACAATATTATAAATAATAGTTCTTAGTAGTAATATAGTTGATAATTTACTAAAATCTGCACATAAAATTTTCCATCAACAATTATAAAAGGATTCTCACATATGTTATGGCCATATATTACTACATCCTATCTTCTTGAAAAGAACATGATGTGCATGAAGGTTAAACCCAGCTAAAAAGACTGGCAGCTGTGACTGCACCTTTTAGTGCATGTAATAAAAGAATGATCATAGGCCAGTAATGAAAACAAAACAATGTATTGAAGGTCACAAATTAAGATTTGGAAATTGAAATGGACATATTATGGAATAAACCAACTGTGTTGGTCCCGGTGGTTTGACAGTTTGGGTACCCTAACAAAAAATCCTGAACAGCACTTTACAAAATCTGTGCCTTGACAAAATTTCCATCAGACAATTACAAAAAGCCACACATTTGCTATGCTGATACATTATGACATTCTAGGTTCTTGAGAAGAATTGGATAGGTGTGAAGGCCAACATAAGAGCCGGCGGCTGTGACTTCACATTGTTTGTATGTAGAAATTCCAAACGTCTGGATACAACAAGAATCCATAATTACAATAATCCCTCAGTGAGGCACTACCCCGATGTGATTGTGGGGTTTGTGTGCTCTGAGGAAGATTAGGGTTATGCCCGAGGTTCAACCATACTGGACAGCTATCAGCAGAAGAGCCAGAGAAAGTGTGTCTCTCCATTAACAATACGGTGAGAAATTATTTACAGAAACCCCGACCAAACTGGTTATCATCCAGGCCACTAATGATTGCGCTAACTGTTGAAGTTTCTGGACATCTTGGGGCAAGTGGACTGCAGAATTCAGGAGTGTTATTACAAATCAAATCCAATGAGAAGAGGATAACTGAAAAAAAAATGCATTATTTCTGGAAAGAACAATGTTCAACCCCAGCAATAACAGAACAGAGGCTAGCAGATCAATGTCAATTTATAATACGAAATAAAAGTATTCCCAGAAGCAGAATGGGAAGAATTGCAGAGGTCTACACAGGACAAAGACATCAAAGTTTCTCAGAATATAGAGGCAAACCAGGAAGAGTCAGAAATGCAATAAGTCAGCATAGCTATTGACACATTTTTTTCCTTCCCAAATTCTCCTCTGCCCTTTCCTCAGAAACAACAAACTAACTAGAAAAGAAGAACTGAAACAAACACTAATTGAACATCTAAAACCACACAAGAACAACAGAATGGGGTTGGCTGACATGAACAGCTAACAGAACTATTAAAAGATGCCAATATTTTAATATTAAATATAAACACTGGCTCAGTCAACTAACATAGGGCACCATTGCAGAAATAACTGGATACCTGGGATGCAAAATCAACAAAGAAGGAAAAAAGGCATACACTGCACTGCCGAGATAGAAGATAAGATCAGCATGCAAAGATTAGATGCAAGCAAGTTGGAACAGATGAAAGAGAAGAAGCTGAAGAACGAAGAACACCTGGTGAAGAAAAGTCATCTGGAAACAAGGAAGTTCAAGGCAGCACCGGAAATAATAAAGCAGCAAATGACAGGTACAGCCAAGAAGATCAGCAGATAATAAGCTCAAATTGAACTCTATGGGCAGAATCTCCAATTTCAATCCAGTCATAAATATTTCTACAAACCCATCGATGGAGAGACTGCAGAGAACCAGTTAATACTTGACCAAGAAGGCACCAGGTGAAGATGAAGTGCATAGTTTTTGGTTGAAACATCTGTCTCGTTTACACCCACTCATGGCCAAGCAATGTAACAACACACAGGCGGTCCTTGACTTATAGTCGTTTGTTTAGTGACCAAAGTTACAACGGCACTGAAAAAAGGGACCATTTTTCACACTTCCAACTGTTGTGGCATCCCTGTGGTCACCTGATCAAAATTCAGACACAACTGACTCATGTTTACAACAGTTGCAGTGTCCCAGGGTCACGTGATCAATTTTTGTGACCTTCTGACAAGCAAAGTGTCAGGGCTCTGGTAGTTACCCATTTAAATCATGAGTCTCTAGCCAGATTTTCAAAGCTCAAAGAAGATTTATTAGGAGAAGACATGCCGGTGCTGCCTGGGTGTAGCCAACTCTGAGACACATCATTCATTGTCACCCTTGACCCTGGTTTCCCCCCCACCCCCTGGGTGTATCGTAATTCATATTCTCCAATGGGACACCTCCATAGCCAAGAGTCATCAATCAGGCTCTCCAGTTAGAATTTTGCTCCACAGAAACTTCAGTCGCCTAGAAACTATCTATGAAAACATTTATGGAATGCAAGTTGCCGCACTGCTCCCCCCTCCCTTTCTCTAGGCAACTCTAAAAGACCGGAGAAATATTTTATGAGTTGACACAAAGTCAATGGGGAAGCCAGATTCACTTAACAACCATGGTGTTAGCTTAACAGCTGCAATGATTCACTTAACAACTGTGACAAGAAAGGTCGTAAAATGGCGCAAAATTCACTTAATAAATGTCTCACTTATCAATTGAAATTTTGGGCCCAATTATGGTCATAAGTCGAGAATTACCTGTATTGCAAGGAGGTGGATTTGAAGAGTGGCTAACCTCGGACAAAAGGAGTAGAACCAGGCAACTGTAGGCCAATTACCTGTTTGCTAACAACTTTCAAATTTCTATCTGCTGTAGTGGCTGGTGCAGTCCAGAGGCATCTATTTCGAAATAAGCTATTCGTACCTGAGCAGAAAGTAAACTGTCCAAATGACAGAGGAACAAAAGATTGGCTCCTAACTGACAAAGATGTTTCAGATTAACAGAATTGGAAGGGATCTTGTAGGTCATCTAGTCCAACCCCCTGCCCAAGCAGGAAACCCTGCACCATTTCTGACAAATGGCAGTTCAATCTCTTTCTGTCAGAAAAGTTATCCTTATTTCCAGGTTGAATCTTTCCCTGTTCAGTTTCTATCCATTGTTCCTTGTCTGGCCTTCGGATGCCTTGGAAAATAGCCTGACCCTCTCCTCCTCTCTGTGGCAGCCCCTCAAATATTGGAAGACTGCTATCCTGTCTCCTCTGGTCCTTCTCTTCCTTAGACTAGCCATGCCCAGTTCCTATAACAAGATGATTTTGGAAAAACTGCAGGAGAAGGAAGACCAACTTGAATGAAGCTTGGATTGAATACAAGAAGGCATTCAATTATCTGCCACATGATTGGATAACCAAGTGCCTAGAAATAACAAGAGTCCGTAGAAGCATTAGAAGCTTCATGCAGAGATCAACAGCACAACAGTATCAGTAATCACTGATAGTTATTGCTATCAAACATCAAAAACGTTGGCCAGGTTAAGGAAATGGATGATCTGAAGCTGCAGGGAAAAACACCATCTGAAATAGAATCACTGCTCAAGGAGGTCCATATATATTGCAAGAATATTGCAATGGAGTTCAGACTGGACAAGTGTCCCAACTTCACCATCAAGAGGGGAAAATAGTTAAAATTGAAGGAATCAAGATGGTAATTATATCAAGAGTCACTCTGGATGAAAACTATCACTAACAAATTGCTGGGCATCTTTCAAACTGTTATCATCAAGCACATTGAAGTCAAGATCAAACAGATCAAACAGATAATCAGAGTTGGAAGGGACCTTGTAGGTCATCTAGTCCAACCCCCCACCCAAGAGGGAGACCCTACACCATTTTTGACAAATGGCAGTCCAGTCTCTTATTGAAAGCCTCCAGGGATGAAGCTCCCACCACTTCCGAGGGAAACTTCTGTTCCATTGGTTGATTGTTCTCACTGTCAGAAAGTTTCTCCTTATTTCCAGGTTGAATCTCTCCTTGTTCAGTTTCCATCCATTATTCCTTGTCTGGCCTACAGGTGCTTTAGAAAATAGCTTGACCCCTTCCTCCCTGTGGCAGCCCCTCAAATATTGGAAGACTGCTATCATGTCTCCCCTGGTCCTTCTCTTTACTAGACTAGCCAAGCCCAG